AAATTTTGAGCTTCTATGCCTAAAAAGTAATGTTATTATTGTCATAAATGAGGAGACTTACTAAGCAAATAAGATTAAGGGGTTGTTTGATTTGCTGAATAAAAAATGCATTGTAAGATAAATACAATGTAGCGTAAAAGGAATATAGTATAATTGAAATGTAACGTATCTATAATATTTTGAAATTGTTTGGTTTGATGTAAAGTAAATGTAGGAATTAGATTTTTGTATTTGGTTTGAAAATAAATAAAATCATCATAAAACATACATGACGATATTGTTGGCAGTGACTGGTGGTTGTGATGCCTATAGTTGACGAGTGGCGTCAACTAGTGGTTATGGAGCCTACAGCCGATGAGTGATGGTGATCATTGCGTATCATCATCAATTTCATTCGTTAGAACAACTTTCATTGAGTTTTCGCACCTATCCCTTTTTATTCTCATTTTCAATCATTTTTCTTCTCAAAACAAAGATTGGCTCATGATTACCCATTTTTAATTCCAGGGTTTCTTTGAATTTGGAACTAACCACTTAGAAGGCTTCCATACCAAGGCTCAATCCAATAAAGTACAAAGCATCTACCAAATTCGCCATATCCCTCTTTTCTTTAAGCCTTTGAGACAAGGATCAAGTTGTATTCTCATCCAACTTGTTCCCTAAGCACGTGTCGAATGCATCAGAGAGGGCAGAGTTCCTTCACAAATAATCTATGCTAAAATTGATTAATGCTCCCATACAATTAAAATTATCTAATGAATTTTAGCCATCAAAATTTGAATATTTATAATTCGTAAACAAAGAATAAGAAGATAAGAATAATGGACCTTTCTTTATCTCATAATTCTGCTAATTAAAAGAACAAATTTAGAATTTCTTTTCTTTTTTTAATAAAAAAATGAACAATTATAATTCTGTAAGGTTGAATAAATTTTTGTTTTACTTTTTATTAAATTTAAATTTTAGTATAATTTATATGCTAATTGTGTGACTCGTTAGTTTTTTTTCGTTGGAATTAAGAATTGAGACTGAAATGAAAAATAGGTTGACCTCACTATGAACTTGATAACTATCAAAACTAAAGAACCTCAGAACTAATGGCCAACTTATTGCTTAGTATTGTCAAGATCCCAAAAAACGAATATGACAATCAATCACATAGTTGTAGCAACTGAAATCATTTTCATAAAAAAGAAATTTGATAACGAATTATAAAAAAATGGATGTGGAAAAAGAAAGTATGATAGAAAGAGAGAATAAAGATCCAGCTGATATATGATTCACATACGTATGATTTATGAAAAATTTACCCATAAAAAAGGAATTGATAAAGCATCAACATCAATATACAATAAAAATAGGAAAAAAAATGTATTAAGAAATAAAATTTTAATTAAATAATAACATATAAGAAAGAAAAAAAGAAACATAGAAAAAATATAATAAAAGATATATGCAAATACATAGAAACTCTCATAATTCATAGTATAAAATTAGTATAAGATGTTTATTCTTTATTTGATTCGGCCGCATCTTTTTCTCAAAAAAAGAAAGATTGGGCCTAGTTTCATTGCAATCACTTAAGAGAATAAAATAGAATTGTTGAATTCCACATGCTTATTTTGCCTCTTTATCTGGCTTATTGAATGCGATCTCTTTTCAGTCCCAATTAGCAGCTAGTTTTAGGCACCATTTGATGATTGATATCATTACCTTCACGAGCAAGGTCATGTCCCTCGTTACGAGCTTGTACATCTGCTTCTAAAGCCACTTAATTAGCTATTGTACTAGTTGCATTTCTCCAAGGGTGTTGAAAATTCCTCCACCAAAATGTAGCACGGAATCATACCCAAAGATTTCAATTAGGGCAAGCATAAGCCAAACATGAATACCTCCTAAAGCCACAGGTAAAACACCTAGTATAGAGAGCCAATCTTTAGCGAAAAAAATATCACCGATATGTCTTTTTCAATATAATTATTACGTAATAAATCAACAAAACCAAAATCATCTCACGTTTCCCTCAAGTCACTAGCCCTACCTTCGACATCTCCCTCCTAGCAGTTAAGGTAGCAAATTTGGGCTCCCATAGTGTGACAAGCGATGTTTACATGGACCAGGAACCAATTCACTATCGTATGACTGCTAGATGATTACTAACAATTTTGACTTCACACAGGCGAGTTGTAGCCTGCAACCGAACCTAGGACGGGTTTTGGAGTCAGCTCACCCTTGTGGGATTGCGACCCTTTGTCTCGTCCATTGTAGCATGTGTGCCACTCGGGGCATAAGAGGCATGATGAGTTAACATCATCCTCACCTTCCTTGAAATATCGTCAGCAGTATGTTCAGGGTTCCACTCAATGGTGACAACTAAACACAAGGGACAACTAAACACGAGGGTTATGCTTGTTGCAAGACATAACCCAACAATCCAACACCTTATGACAAGAGCTTACACGGTCATGCACCACCTACGTTCACACTCCCGAAAACACCCCTCTTTCAAGAGAAATCATGGCATGTCAAACCCCGATAAAATTCTTCGCTTTGAACCAAATTAAGCCACATGATCCACAGCTTGTGTGGGCCCCCGCAAATTCATTTTGAGTTTATTTTTGAGAACTTACTCCCCATGCAAGAAAATTATCGTGTTAGCTATAGCACTGCATATGTATAGAATCAAGTGTCCATCATTTAAGGCTAATACTACAGGGGCATCTAATCACATTTGCTCCCCTAACTTTCATCTCTAAGTGTAAGTGTCGGCCCAGTGGAGCCCTTCCGTCATTGGTGTTCTTTCCAATATTTACGCTTTTCACCACTCCACCGGAAATTCCCCCTGCTTGCCTACAACCGACAATTGGTGGAGGCCATCACCTAAAGACAATGGCGGTGATGGCAGCAAAATGTTACAATTCACCATATATTTGAAAACTGACTAAATCTAACAAATTCGTAAGACACCAATTTTAAACTGAAAAATGAATTCCAAATTCATCAAAAATTTTACATAGCATTCTGTTTTCATCCTAGCAAATTTGAAAACTCAAGCATTTGATTTACTTGACACCACTAATGCACCAAACAGCCACTAAGAAAGTAAATTATATGATTACAAGTCGCTATCTCCAAGTCAATTATTTCTCTAATATAATTCTGGTAACTAAAAGAATAAACACTAACCTCACAACATCCCTCTTTTATTTATAACCTTAATTATCACAAGTTTAAAACATTACAAAAACATACATGTTCATTTTGAGATGAATTTCTCCATATTTAAAGAATTTTATTTTGTTGATTTAGGACTTTGTACTTGGAAGATAATTCTGGTAACTAAAAGAATAAACACTAACCTCACAACATCCCTCTTTTATTTATAAACTTAATTATCACAAGTTTAAAACATTACAAAAACATACATGTTCATTTTGAGATGAATTTCTCCATATTTAAAGAATTTTATTTTGTTGATTTAGGACTTTGTACTTGGAAGAGAGAGGATAAATGAAAAAATACTAAATTCTAGGTGAATAATAAACTTTTTAGAAGTTTTATTTCAAATCAAAGCCTATTTTAAATTCAATTACAAAATTAAGAAGTTTTGTTTCAAATTATAGCCTTTTAGAGATTTTTCAGAAGTCTTGAAAAAACCTAGCTACATTTTAAAACTTAGTTTTATAAATTTTGAAATTATTTTATTCTAAGTTGATTTTATAGGTTTATTTTAAGCATCTTTCTCAATGCTTTGTTTTTAAGAAAGTAAGCCTAATTTTCGTAAGTTAAGCTTTTTTGTTAATTTTAAATATTTATGTGATGAGAAATAACTTTTTATAGTCAAGCCCACTAAAGTGTAATTGTGTAAAAAACTATCAAGCACTTCTAAAATGAAAAGTTTTATAATACACGAGCTCTCTAAAAACCAAGGTTTAAAATTATGCAGATAAGTACTGCGACGTTTTTCATTCGTGAGGCGAGCCACAAACCTCAAGATATTTTGTGGTGTAAATCTTCAATTTAAAAATTGTGCAGATTAACAAATATTGTATAAAATATAGTGTACAGTAAAAAATAACATATTAATATTCTAACTAATTCCGAATTAAAAGCCAATATGATAATATTTTTATTAAAAATAAATACTAAATTGTGTAAAATTAAAAATAACACGTTAAAATCATAACATCAAATTATGAAATAAGATAGGTTATAATAATATTTGATTATCAAAATAAGTTGAATATCAAAATATAACAATTAAATTAAATTCAATAGAATTTTTTTTCTCTAACTCATACTACCCCTCATGCAGACAAGAATATAACAAGTCATTAACATTTGAATTTTTAAATTTAAAAGTATTTATTACTCTTTTCACCCTATTGATTTTCATTAGAATGATCAACATAATTAATTTTTTATCTCATGCCTTGAATTTAGGCGTATCTATACTCTCATTTTCCACATTATTTTATCACAATTATTTTCAATTTTTAACGAATAATTACTAATAAAAACATTAATAAAAATAATATTTATGTTGATAGTTAGAACTTCAATTTAATAAAAAAATTTATTCATTTTTTTTTATTTCTTATCATTTAGTATTGAGCTGTGAGGTTAAATAGGTGAAGTATATTGATATTACTTTCAGTTTTGTTAAAAAAAATGTGGATGGCGTCAAAGGTTGAGGCAAAGTAGGCCCTGAGGCACGCCTCAACCCGGGTGAGGTGTATGTCTCACTATAGGATAAAGAGGTGTAAGCCTCATAACGTGTTTTCTTGTAAAAAGCTTTGAGATAGGCATTGATGAAATTTGCTACATGCATGTCTATGCCTACAGCAAAGTGAATTACCAGCACAAATCTTTTACCCGGAACAAGTAAGAAATTCAAATGAAAATGTTGGAATAAAATAAATCTAAAGTTCAATAAAAAACAAAGGTACCAATAATCCTTTAAAGGTTAAATTAGCTGAAAAAATAGAAAGCCAACTTGCCTTCTGAAGGGTGCTCAAATCCAGAATCAACTATAGCACGCAAAAGCTCTGGCTTTAACAAAAAGTCTCTAAATCCGGAGCTGTGAATTCCTACATAGCCCCTACATCAGTAAATAAGTAAAAGAGATTAATGTCCTGAGTACCAAAAGATTAAAATAAAGTGTTCATAATAGTGTTCTGCTTATTCAAGCAGCCAATATGATATTAGCAATGAAGAAGGTCGATCGCCAACTTTCATCTATATAATAAACTGAGCAGCTCTCCATGGAAGGGAAATAAATGTTTGCAGTTTGCAGTTTATACATACATACATATACACATAAAGCTATGTCATGTTATTCACAGAGAAAAGAAATATTACAATACAGATGCTACTAACCAAAAAGTAGCCAAATCAATGAAAACAAACATATAAAAAACATGATTTTCAGCACAAATAGCTCATAAAACAAATAAAAATTCTTAGTATCACACCTTTACTGAATTAACTAACGCTAGCCATGGATAACTAAATTAAAATATGGAAAATAATTAAGTTCTCAATTAGAGCAAGGATCACAGTTTTCAAATTCATAAATAGCTACCAGGTATACTATTGAAATCAAATGTACAGATCCAAAATTGGACTTTGAATAGGAGAAAAGAGAATATCTGTTAACAAAATGGAAAAGATCGCCAAAAATATCCTACTAGAAAATCAAATTTTAATTCGGGGTCAAATAATCCACAACGCACCAGAGCGCAACTACAGCAGGGAAACATATATTTTTATATTATATATATATATATATATATAAGAAAAAGAAGCACTTAAGCGCGTTTGGCTTACTTCTTTGCCGCATCAACACCGGCCTTCGCCCCAACAGAGTCTGGGGCCTTCTCGTCGTCCTCCTCATAGTCGAGAAGCTCCTCCTCGTAGGCGTCGTTATCCCTTGCTTCACCCATTCTGCAGATGAACAAATATTAAACCTATAAAAGCCAGTCTGACTTGTAACAACATAAAAGATAGAAGGTAACAGGAACCGACCTTCGAAGAAAGATATTGGAGAGATATTAGAATGATATTGGAGTCTGAGGAAAGTAATTTCTGCAAGAAAAAAGTGTGATAAACAAACTGGCGATTTGAGTTAGGGTTCCTATAGTAAGCGAGCGTTAAGGCTTGAAGGGAGAAACAAAGGTAGGTTTCCTAGGAGAGAAGAAAAAGGAAGACCTAGGGTTTCTAGAACGGGGGCAGCGAAGACCCCAGCTAGGGTTTGCGAGGAAGGAGGGAGTGACTGTTTTATATGGTGGCCCTGGTAGATACGACCTTTATAATAGACCGACCACTTGAGAGCGCAAAACAACGGAATCCACCGTTGAAATCGCAGGGAGGTCGGATTGGGGAGGATAATTGGAGATGTGTTTTATGATTGTGTTTTATTTAAACAAAATTGGAATTTTTAAATCGAATCATAAAAATTATTTCATTATTGTAATTTTTATTTTTTAAAATTTTAATATTCAATTTTTAGTTGTTAGTTCAATTTCAATTTTTTTTTTTTGATCCAACAAATTAAAACATCAATTTATAATTAAAAATTTTAATCTATTTTAATTTTATTTCAATCAAATTAAAATTTTCAAATTTATATTATGTGTAATATTTAATTGAAATAAATAAAAAATTGATGAAATTAAATCAATATTATAGATATAATAATTTATAATGTTTATTCATAACTGAACTCCAACTAATAGTTAAATTTTGTAATAGCTGAATTGTTTAAAATAAATTAAATTTTAATTTGATTGATTTTGTTTTATAATTTTTTATTTTATTTTAGATTTCGATTAAAATTAATATCACCACTTTTAAAATCATTCCATCCACACGAACAAAATGCTCATCCCTGGCAATCAATGGCAGACCTGCGTTTCTCGGGAGGAATTTCATTATTGGCCCCTCCAAAATAAATAATCTGCCCTACCGAGCAAAAAGCCCACCAATACATATCACACAATTCTTTTGTATTTACATATCTACCATCTAAACTTCAATTTTACATACATATCACCTTATCAATACATTAAAAGGTGCCGTTTAATATTTTAAATTTAAAATAGTGGTATTTAAATAATTAAAAATAGGGAATTTTTTTTATCTAATATGAAATAATTGGGTTGTATAAATGTAAAAAAGTAAAGTTTATAAATTAGATATATAAATATAAAAGAGTTAGGTGGTACAAATGTAAATGCCCCTTTATTTTTATTTTTTTTTTTAAACTTTACTTTGCACGCTCTTAATTTATATTTTGATTAAAAAAGTTATTTTTTTTTGTTATGTTTGAGCTAAGCAAAATAGGAAAAAAAAAAGAGATTAACTATAATTACTAAGTTGCGGATTTATTTATGAGTTATTTTGCATATATTTATTTATTATTTTTTAATTAAATTTTTAATAATTAATATGTGCTTCACATAAAACTTGCACTTTCATTAAATTATATTTATTGGAAAGCTTTATGTTAGAACATAAAATTATCTTTTTTATTTTATTTTTAATTAAATTTATAATTATTTTTTTAGTAAATAATATAAAAAACAATTTAATATTATTTTATTTAAATTAAATTATAATTTTAGCATAATTTATATTTATTTTAGTAAATATCAAATTTTAAGTCAATAATACCCAATTAATCAATTATAGTAAAATATAGGACTTTATTTTGAATTAACTATTATTTTTGTTAATTAATTAATTTTTATAATAAATTTCTCCCCCCAACTCCTAGCTAGGTTGAGTGCTACATTTTTCATTCGCTATATTGGGACGAGCATAACTTGTAAAAGTGCACTCTCAATTTTTTTTGTTAATAAGCAGAAAACTCGTATGGGAATGTAGGCCATTGCTGCATAAAATTAAAATTACTCGTATGCCCTTCATCTAGCTTTTCGTAGTCAAATCCATCTTCTCATCTATAGTAATTTTCCCTTGTTATCGTCAAGTTTGGACTAAAAGTCCAATGATTCTGAAATCTTTGCTCAGTTATTTATATTGGAGCCAAATTGATTTATTTTTGTCATTTTGATACTATCTTAAAAGGCTACCATATGTATTCTCAAATGCATATATAGCTATGAAAATCTTTCTTATTCCAATGTGAGTGAATGTCTATATATATATATATATATATATAATCCCCAATGAAATTGAATTTGAGCAAAACATGCATATTAGTATATTCATTAATTTCAATTAAATTTTATAATCCTGAAAAAATATGCTTAGTTTATACAATCTTCAATACTTTTCTAATGAAATTTACATGCAAAACCTTTATCATACACCTACAATTATTAATCAATTAAATACATAACAATTGTGTGAGATGTATGTTAATTTTG